GACAGTTTTATTATTTGAAGATTTCTGAAGGGTAATGTTTTTACTATATATTTTTTATAGGAAAAAGGTTTTTTCTTAACAGCGGTCACACCCTAAAATGAGCCTGAAATCAACAAAAATCCCCCAAAACACACATTTCATTAGCGTATAGAAAAAATGTACCTTAGTCTTTTCCAGGAGCAGTCCGGTTTATAGGATTTAGTCAGAACTTACAGGAAGTCGTTCCTATTGACATAAAACCTGTAAGTGGGAACACTTTCATTTCATTCAAAAAATATTTATTTTTAACAATTTACTTTGTAATATTTTTAGGAAAAAATATGTTTTTTCTTCATTTGCATTAGATGGAAACCTTCGACGCCCTGGGGTAAACGGTTAAATGTTAACCGATTTCAAAATATAAAATACTAGTCTCCTTATTTTTTGATATTCTTAAATTCTGGACCACCCTCATACGCATACGTACTAACTTTTCGTTTGCAAACATAGCGAAAGTACTTTCATATATTTATGTACGTATGTATGTATGTCCTTATAGCCCGAATTAAATTTCGCTTAACTAAATTGCATGCCTTAAAAGGGTTGTTTAATTTACTTAGAAGGTTTTTTTTTATTTTGCTTTGGCAACAACCCTGCTGCTATGACATAGTCTGTTTATTACGAGCTTAACATTTTGGAGTGTGCATTAAATAAAAAGCGCGCCAAGGAAGCGTTTAAATACAAACGCGTTTTATTAGTAAATATTTTGGCTAAAACAAATATTTATTATGCTCGTATGATACTATGTCGTAAAAATTTCTACACGAAAATGCTTTTATATAATTTTTTTCACAGCACACCAGCCTTCGCGGTCACGCATGCAACAATGCTAAGTATGTATGTACATATGTACTTATGTAAATCAAATTTTTAAGCACCTATTACGCTAATTACACAAGTTTACTTCAAACTTCTTTTTATAGACAGGGAAAATATTCTCCGTAAAATATTGTTAAAAATCCATACCTGAAGCTTTAAAAGTGATGGTTAAATATTATCGAATGTATCGAATGCATACAAGTTATTTAAAAAGGGCGTATGGATTTGTCCATGGTTTTCGTTATTTTCTAATTTAACAGATTTTTTTCCCGGATTTTAATTTTTATTTTTCGGGACTTTTTGTAGCTTTCTTTTGGGTTTTTTTCTGATATTTAACTTTGCTTTTAAATGAGTGTCTCAAAAATTAAAAGCAGAAGTTATGGAGTTGTATTGCTCAAATTGTTAAAGTCCAAAGTTTTAAAGTAGTTAGGGTTTTTATGTATATGCACACAGGATTTGATATAAAGTACTCATAATGCTCTTTACACTTACGCTAAAATTTTTTTCACTCTGATTGATATACACTGCCGGAACAAAGTATTGGCACAGCAAATTTTTACCAATATATACAACTGTTTAAATTCAAATATTTTATTTATTATATATTGTGAAAAACTCGCGAAAATTCCACAAATTTTCATAAAAATTTTCAACTTTTTAATCAGATTTTTTAGTATGCAGATTTGTAGCCCAATCAATTTTGTTATAATAAAGTGCAAGTTTTAAGTAGCTAGGAATTACCGCTGATGTTTGGCAATTTTTTTCACGCCGTCTCTTCCATACAAAAAATTTTTTTCGAAAATACTTTATATGGAAAAAATGCAAAAGACCTTAAACAAACAAAATTCTCAAAAATCAACGCGATTGCATTTTTTTACTAGAATTTAATGGGCTGCAAAACTGCATACTCAAAAAAAATCTAAAAAATCTGATTAAAAAGTTGAAAATTTGCTGAATTTTCGCGAGTTTTGAATAAAGTTTAGGAATCGTTTTTTTATGTTTTTTGTTGTAGAATGAATCATATTTTTATACAAAATTGGCGGAAAAATATTAGAATAAATTTTTTTGCATATATTTGTGAAAAATTTGCTGTGCCAATACTTTATTCCGGCAGTGTAGCTCACGAACGTGGCCTTTGAACGCTTTACCAGCCACATCGCATATTTACCTGCAGTTGTTTTTTAAGCTGCGACAGTGAAAAGAGCCATTGTTTGCCAAAACGAGGATAGCTTATCAATTCGATATTATCGCCGATCAAGGCTGTGTAGCCTTCAGAATTGAACAGCGGACTAAGATCTAATGGTGCAGCCACTAAATGTCCAGTTATGCTGCAGTAAAAAGGTTGTGACCTTTGCTGGGCTTGGCTTCACTTGAAAAGTTCTATACAGTTAGAGTTATAAATCGTAGGCATTCATAACCGATAAAATATTTTTTGCACAGTCATTTCAAATTCCAGAATTTTTCAACCCTTTCACCCCAGAGTTGTTTTCTTTTTTTTAAGTCTGGTGGAGTTTTTTCATTTAGACCTCAGGTACTGATATTAGACTAAGGTATAGGATGTTTGGCATATACATATAATTCCGATAAGGTTTTCGAGTGGGATCTTATATCCGAATAGAGCTAAAATAATGAATCAGACAAAAAATACCGTCGAGGAAAAGGTTATTCGCTGTCGCGTTCATCATACGCCCCGGTGATCTAAAAAAAGCGTATCAGCAAGCTAACTGTAAAACACATTTTAGTTAGTGGATTTAATTGAGAAAATATATGTATATTTTTTACTGAGGTTAGTCCCATGGAAATATTTTTTTACACTTTCTATAAGTATGGAAGGGTCTGGAAGGAGGAGGCAGTGGATCACAGACGGCTCAAACACAAAAGATGGCGTAGGAGCAGGTGTCTATTGCGATGAATTAGAAATAAGAAAGTCGTAATACTGCAGCATCGTGCATCAAGAGTCTCAATAATAGCAATGCTGATAGCAATCAAATTAATTTCTATATAGATTGCCAAGCAGCCATATAAAATCCATAGTATCAAATACGACGACCTCAAAAAGTGTCTTAGAATGCAGAAATTAACTAAAAATGCTAGGGTTAACTAGGAAAATTCAAGTGTACCTGGGCATAGAGGGAAACGAAAGAGTAAGCATTCACTCGCTAAAAGTAACTGTAGCTTGTGATATCTGTAGGAAGTGTGAAATTGATCAAGAAACGGTGGAGCAAATAGTGTGCGACTGTCTAGCGCTGGAAAATTTGCATCTGAACTGCTTTGGGGAAGGTTTCCTCATCAAAATCCTAAAATTCACTTTTTGGTGCGGCAAATGTTAAATCTGTTTTTGATAGACTTTTTTGAGCTGATTACGAATCCGTAATTATAAAGATTCCGTCACGTACAGATTTTGAGAAAATTGTGGCCAAAGTGTCAAAAAATCGGTTTTTTTTTCAATATTTGAGAAGCTCGAGCAAAGAGTAAAAATGTGGTAGAACCTTCCACTTAGGCTTAGATTAAAGCAAGAACCCTCGACTACTATCCTTGAAAATACTATTCCTGCACATTGAATTTATGGTCACTTATAGTCATTTATTGAGCAGTAAAATTTGACTTTTGGCGAAGTTTGAGTCCCTGCCGCAAATAAACAAAAGGTGATAGAACCTTCCGCTTAAGCTTAAATTAAGGCTTGAACTTTCGACTACAATCCCTAAAAATATTAAAAAAAATTGTGAAAAATCACCATCTCTATCGAAAGCCAGAAACCAGAAATCGAAAAAAGGAACATAAAAGTGCAAAAATTCATGGAATCAATAAATTTATTTTTACTGAGTCTTATTTAAAATTTTTTCTTAGGTACTTTTGAAAGTTGAGCGCATCTTGAGTTTATAGAACTTTTTATTAAGCAAGTAGTTTTTAAGGAAAGAACACAACCGACTTAAATTCTCATATACAAATTTAGGTGTACCGTTAATTTCTTCATGATCCAATCATCGGATCTCTAAAACAAATTACGGGACGAACCTTGAGGTACCATCTTTATACAAAAAAATTATTATTGAAATCGGTTCACGTGGTCCAAAGTTATGTATTCCGACGAATTGATAACCTCCCCTTTTTTTGAATCGGTTAAAAATGTTTGAGTTCTGTTAATCTTATGTAAATAAGGTGCAGTTTATGAATTTTAAAACGTTTATTTATTTATTACATACTGTACACAAAACTTGCATAAATGTATTTCAAAGAGCGTATTATCTGAAGCGAATTTTCAGTATATTCCGGTGATATATCCTCAGAAATATAAAACCCCCCTAAAATATATTCCTGGGTGCGCCCCTGGTACCAATAGCCCATATAAAAATGCACAAATCTGTACAAATGTACCAATCGAGTGACACTGCCTTAAAAATTTATGCAATTAAAAAAAAATATAAAATCTATGAATTTTTGTAAAAATTTCGAGTTTTTAATTAGATTCTGAGTATGCAGTTTTGTAGCCCATTGAATTCTTCTAGAGTAAGGTACAAGTTTCAAATGGCTAAAAATTACGGTTAATTTTTTAGAATTTTAAAAAAAGCTGGAACACCAACAAAAAAAAATTGGCAATACCTACTATTCTTTAGGCGCATAATACATACATATGTACGTATTTATGCATGCGGAGCATCTTTCGCACACAGCGGAATAATGTATGTTGGATTTTTTTATTCAGCGAGCTTTAGGAAAATTGTATATTTAAAAATTATATACATATTTTATACTCGTATTTAGTTTGAACTTTAAATTTTTGGTCATTCCGAAAAATCTTTTCCACATTAAGACATTTCTAAAATCAACTCAATTTCTATTCAAATAGCAATTAAATATAGTTTTCTTGTTATCTAGCATTTTGCTCATTTAATGATATTTCCTTTCAACACTAACCTTCAATTTAGGCGGCCATTGCAGATAATTTTCATTACCCAACTTTTTGTAAAGACCCTCAAGCGATGCCTTTATCACAAATGACCATTGAATTAATTGTAAATATTTATCTCTAAGCAAGCTAGTTTTCCTTTTAGCAAAATAGCACAAAAACTTTTCTTGTCGTAAGAAATTCGTCGTTACGCTTACTTTAACCACCATTCATTTTTCTTGCTCATTCCAGCAATTCGTCGCCAACTGCCGGACTGAAGGAGTAAGACAAGAAAAAAAGCAGAAAAGGCGTCGCAAACGTCGCACGACTTGAGTACTTAAACGTTGAACACAAACTGCCGTATCATTAGCGCCAGTTAAGAGGGAGTTCATTTCGTTGCCACATTTTTGTCATACATCAACATGTGCCATGGAGAATTGCTTAGGCGGCAGCAAACGTACCATCCGAGCACAAAGGGACTTACAACAATTGAAGCAGCAATGCCAGCAACAGCCACCGAACCAGAATTTCTATACGCAACAACAGCCGCAAGTCCATCGGCAAGCGCAAACAATCAAGCAGCAACAACAACAGCTACAACAACAAATCTTACAACAACAACAACAACAACAGCAGCAGCAACAACAAAGGTTTCTACACGAGGAACAACAGCTACAAAAGGCTGCAACGCAACTGCATCAGCACCAACAACAACAGCAGCACTTGGAGCAACAACTACAACAACAGCTGATGCATCCGTTTCAGCAATTAACGCTACAACAGCATCAACAGCAGCAGCAGCAACAACAACACCAGCAACAGCGCGAAATTGCCTATCAATTGGCTGCGGAATCCGAGCACAATCGTCCTGCATCCATGTCGACAACACCTAAATTTGTCGCCAATTGTTTGCATTTTCCACCGCCGCCAGATTATCCGCCGCCACCACCGAAAACGCCAACGGCTGCGACCGCCGCCACTGTGACCACAGCCGCCACTAAAACAATGTCCACGGCAAATGTTAAGTCAGCAACGACAACGACTGTGACAACAACAGCAACAACGCCGGTTGCAAACAAAGCGAACGCCAGCGGCCATCACCACCAACATCATCAGCATTATCATCAACAGCAGCAGCAGCAGCAGCAGCAGCAACAACAACAACTACTGCCAACACATCACTATCCACAGCAACAGCAACAACAACAACAACAACTCACTGACAATGTACTGACGCACTTAGAGCCAATGGCGCCACCTGCTGTGACCACCGGCGCACACAATGCTACGCTTGCAGTGAGTGCCACTTTGACCCCGCCATTGAGCAATGCCACAGTCAACTACCACCACTCGTCGGCATCCGCGTCCAGCTCACCATCGTCCTCATCGGCCACAAGTGGCACTACCATAGGTGTCAGCCCGTATGGACGGCGGCAAGTGTTGCCGCGCTACCCCGATCCCGATCCAGACGCTATCGAGGTGTGCAACGAGCAGGAGCCCATAAACATTTCGAAAGTGTCAACGCGTCACAATAGCAAAACACTTGGCCGCGCAAACGAGCTACTCAACGCGGACGCAAAATGGTCTGCGGTGCAACAGACCACAAGTTTACAGCTGTTGCATCAACATGCGCATTCCACACACCCGCACGCACAGCATGATTACTCGTATGCGTACTATGAGCCAGGCGCCGCGATGCGTCACTCGAATATACCGCCACCCGAAATGGTACCTGGCAGCGCACACACGATACATCATGCACCACCGCCGCCAAACTCGATACGCGCGCTACTGTCCAAGGGCAGGAAGAACAAATTTCTGTCTTCGCCGGCCGGGCGGCATGCCTATCAGGCGCATTACGGGCTTGATGGCGCCATTGCATGTGATAGCGCAACGTTGCGCAGTGTTGCGGGGGCAACCAGTGAGAATTTCTACGAAGAGATATCTTCCAATGAGGCCGCACTTCAATACCACCACAACAGCCACCATCATCACTTACGGGCGTCGGGCACTTCGCATTCGGCGGGTTCGCTGAATCAATCACTAGTTGAAGAGGAATTGCGACGCGTACATAACCGCCACCATAAAATACTTGGCGAGCTGAATCTGTCCGTCGAGGCCATGTTGATGCCTGAGAGTCCGCCCAACAGTAGTCCGACCAGTAGTGAAGCGCCCGGTATTAGTGTTACCACTGCGTCGGGACAGCCAAATATAGGCGCTGTTGCTGCCGATGGCGCAGGCAGTTTGCGACTCTCTTCAACGTCGGCTGATAATATCTGTGATGCAAATCTCTCCGAGCTGCTCAGCACTGTGGGGCCCACCGATGAGCTCCTCTCGCCTGTGCAGTCGTCGACAAATGCCGCCTTCTGTGCTGCCGACTTGGATAGCGGCTTCAGCGGCAGCAGCGGCGCCAGCTACATCGGCAGCTTGCGCATACACAAAACCAACGCGGCGCTATCGCATATAATGAGTACGCGTCAAACGCTGGCCAATAGCGCAGTGCAATCCTCCACATCCTGCAATTTCTCTTATGGCACACAAAGCTGCCGCTCCTTTCAACGCTCCTCCTCCACCAAGCAACCGCCGCACCAATTGCCGCTTGACGACGACATAAATTCGGGCTTTTTGACACGCGCCTCTTGTGGCCGCCGCATACTTAATTGTGCCAAGATTCGAGCCGCAGAGGATCCAGGACCGGTGGTGCCGACTGAATCGAAAGCGCGAAGCTTCTGGAATCGCAAAGGTTGGCGCAAATTACCCGGATTCTCGACATCCACATCCAGCATTAACGACACTGGCATAACAGGTGAGCCAATTTCCATGAAAAATGTGAAAGGAGACAACACAACAGACACGAAGACGAGAACGAAAACGAAAACGAAAAATACGAGTACAAAGGCGATTCCATTAATCTGCTTAAAACGCTGACCTTAATTGGTGAAGTGTCATTTGTCAGTGCAACATTTTTACTGATGTGGTGGTGGTGATGCCTCTACTTGATTGTGTGCTGGTGTGGTGTGGAATGGAAGAATGGAATGGCGAGCGAATGGAATGAAATGGACAAGTGCGGAGTGGTATGGAGTGGCGATGAATGGAAAAAGGTGCCATGACTGGCTTGGATTGGCTTGAAGGTGGTTTTGTGGCGTGTGGTGGTGGTATGTGCTTGTTGTTAATCTTCTACTACTTAGTTGTTGTTGTGCTGTATTGCATTAGCGCATCCGATGGCGGCATTGCGACAAGGTGAAACANTGTGCTTGTTGTTAATCTTCTACTATTTAGTTGTTGTTGTGCTGTATTGCATTAGCGCATCCGATGGCGGCATTGCGACAAGGTGAAACAATTGATGGCTCTGCCATCAAAGATTTGTCTCGATTCTATAAATCATATGTGCGCGGGCCTCCTCGCGCCGTGGCGTTGACTTGAATTGAGCCAAGTCAAGCCGAGTTGAATGGTGACCATTCAGCCAGTCAGCCAGGCAGCCAGCCAGCCAGCCAGCCAGCCAGCAACACTTAATATCCGCTCAACACCGACCAACAACAGACTTGCGGGCTTAGCAACCACACGATTGTACATACATATCTACATACAATATTTATTACATACTTGCATAGGTATTTACATACATACATACAAAGGTATGTGTAAATAGAATGTATAATGGTCGGATCATTCTGTTGAACAGTTTGTCGCTGTTTGCTCTACTGTCTGACTTGTGGTGGCAATTTATAAGGCTTAAGGGATATGCAACGCTACTTTTCACTGTCCCATGAATGTAAGCCAACAAACATACATACATATACATACATATATAGATAGTTACATTTGTAAAAGCATGCACCGACACACACACACACACACACACACACCTTGTACGAGTTCATTTAGCCATTGCTTTACATATGTTATTGTCTCCGTTGTATCGTACAATCAAACGCTGCGATCTTCCTCACTTCGCTAATCACAANCACACACACACACACATCTTGTACGAGTTCATTTAGCCATTGCTTTACATATGTTATTGTCTCCGTTGTATCATACAATCAAACGCTGCGATCTTCCTCACTTCGCTAATCACACAAATGTGTTTTTGATTTATCACATTGGGCTTTTCGAATGAGTGCATACAGACGGACCGAAGCCGAAGAGCACAGGACAAAACTGAACTGCACTGAGCTGAATTGAACTGAACTGAGTGGCACAGAGCAGTGAGGCCTTTATTATTTGCGATTACATTTTAGCTATACATACTTACATAAAAATATATAAACATATACATACATACATACATACATACATATATGTATCTATGTATGTGTAAAAGCATGTTAATGATTACAAAGACTGCACTAAAGATTTAAAGTGAAATTAAAAGAGAAATGTGGTAGTGTTTTAAATCTGACTTTTGCAAATGGAATTTAAAAATTGTACTTGTAGCACTGTAAATATGAAATTTTATTGGCACTAGCACCTAAACTAAGCCATAAATTAAATAAATAATTGAATAAATATATAAAATATATAAATGCATATTTGAATGGTACTAAAATGAATAGCAATTAAGTATGTATGTAAGAAAACCCAGATAAATAAATTATAAAGAATTAAAATTGAATAGCTAAATGACTTTTTTAACATTGACTTACTTGGAGTGACATGAGAAAAGGTAATTAAAATGTTAATGACTAACAGCTGTTATCACAAGTACATATGTACGTTGGCAATATGAAGAGTTGCACATTTGTAAAGCCAGACTGCTATCAAATCTCTCAATTCTAACGAGACAACGTCCAAAGTAGCCATAGAATGCAGGAATACTCACAACCTGCGCAGCGTCAAAATGCTCCTTGACTGTTGTATGGGTCCCTGGACATAGGCACATCCCTAGCAACTGCCTAGCCGACGAGCTAGCAAGGAGGGGGACGGAAATATCAGAAGTCAGTTCTGCTCGGAATGCGGGCATACCTCTAACCTCCTGCAAATACAGCCTAACAGCGGAACTCGTTGAGGAGGTAAATATGAGGAGGGCTGTGAAAAGATTGATGTAAAGCGATCCATAGCTCTCACCCGGCTGGACCGCTCCTCTCTCAGATTAGTAGTCGGGGTAATCACCGGACACTGCCTGATGAGCATACAAGGAAAAAGGCTAGGATACCCCACCGACGATTTCAGTCGCAATTGCAGAGACGAGGAAGAGGTGGAGACCATCGAACACTATCTCGGCCATTGTCCCGCACTGGCCAACACACGCAACAAATTCTTCAACAAGTACTTTCTAGATTGTTTAGCCGATTTGAACTCGGCGAACGTACTCGACGTTTTGTGCTGATAAAACGCACTCGGCGATTTGTTTTTGTTGTCGCTGAATCTGAATATGGATGTACCTTGATTTTTCAAGGTCACCTAGAGGCCATGCCAAGGTCATCTCTAGGTCAAATTCAAAAGAATTGTAGTTCAGGTTTATTCAATGCATTTATCCCTACTTGACCTTCAAATGACCTCGAACGTGACGTGATGGAGACTAACAGACCTCGGATTCACATTCAGGGCATCGAATAACATACATAGGCATATAGAGGTTTGGTTCAATATGCAGAAACTTTTTGTTTTGTACACCTGTGTTATCGAAAATAAATTAGAATAAAAAACTTTGCATATATTGCGAAATATTCACTGTGCCAAGACTCTTTTTCGTCACTGTTTATTTTTGGGCAGTGCCGTAAATTCTGCTTAGCATATTNTAGAATAAAAAACTTTGCATATATTGCGAAATATTCACTGTGCCAAGACTTTTTTTCGTCACTGTTTATTTTTGGGCAGTGCCGTAAATTCTTCTTAGCATATTTTCAGCAAAAAAATATAAATAAACAAATAATACATTAAAAAAAAAAAAAATTATTTCAATGCAAGTATTAACCCATCTGACAGCAATAGAGCAGCCTCTGCACAATCAGCTACAGCGAGGTTATCGCTTTCATCCAGTAAACTGTGGCTTAAAGCCAACATCATCGATTTGAAAATATACGGTGGACTACAGGACCAACAAGGGGGTTGGCACGTAAAATTTGGTATAGACTCAGAGAGGTCTATCCTCATTCTTCTAGAAGACCCTTCAATCTACTGACTTAGGCAAAGTTGTCTTTATAAGCACTTTTTCGAATGTCTTTCTGACATAAGCAGCCTCCCTTTAAAATGAAAGAAATGGATAAATTAAAATTTGGTAAGAGTTATGTATAGGTGACATACTAAGGTAAGGAATAAGCAAATAGGCTAAAAACTAATTTAAAAACTCAGAGAGGCGGATGTTATCGTAGTCCAATCTGTCAATCTTGGAAAATAACAATTTTCTGTGTTAGATCGCAGAAATACTCGCAGGTTTGCTATCGCCTGCCGAAGGACGACCGCTGTTAGAAAAAACCTTTTAAAGCATTATCGCGAGTTTCGCCCGAGTTTTTTTCATCCGCGCGAAAGTCAAAAGTGCACCGGTCCTGGGAATATGAAACTCATGATAAGTTGTCCGATTTAAAAATAGCGATTTTCAATAATTCTATACCAATTCTTCGAAAAGTTGTTTTTACCCCGGATAAAATACATGGAAAACATTGAGCGCTTTGACCGACCTCTAAATAATTTTTTTTTTTCAAAATAAAAATAAAAAAACAGTAGTATATTTTTTTCGGTATAGAAAAATCCTAGGGGGTCAGAGCATTAAAATTTCGACTTTGCATTTTTTTGTGGACCACCTTAGTGTACAGACAACTGGCACTCGGTTGCATCTTGCTTCATTCTATAATTTGCCCATTTAGGCTCCAAATTTAACTAAAATTAAAGCGCTGCAATCTGGGTAATTAACTTACACGACAAATGTCACAGACAGGCGGGACAGGCACATCAAAGGGAACAGGAGAGATGCTGCTGTCTATGCAAGCAGCAAAATAAATCTGCTAAATTAATTAGCTAATTAATATGCCTTATACGCTTGTTGTTTTTGGGCCATTTTTAATTTACACTAGCAACTCAATTCAACTAATGGCAATGCATAAATTAAACTACGCTAATCGATTAGAAATTAATTATGCGACTAATTTTGTACATTTCACAATACATAGGTATGTACGTACGTAGTAGTCATTGCACAATGCGACTACTGTGGCCCAAAGTGGTAAAAATGAATTGGCGAATTATGAATTGGCGAATTCTGAAAAGGCAATTACGCAGATTCATAGAAAAATATCCAACCAACCCAAGGCAAAAAAAAAAATTCATTCAAAAAATATATATTTTTTTATTTGTGTCAATATTTCTAGAAATGGTAGATGATAATTTAAATCGGTTTTTAACTTCTTTCAGATGTACACATGTCTTTCTGGTTAAAGCCAGCATATATTCTGAATTTCATCAAAAACGGATAACGTTTACCATTGCCGCCCACTAGAGCTATGGGCGTGGCAGCGCGTCGACTTTTATCATTTTCCACATTTCTTCATTCCTAAGTGCCGAATAGCACACAAACTAAATTTCCGCGAATTTGTAGTACTACGGTTACTACTTTTGGCCGCAGCTTATATGGGGACATGCCACTGTGCGTTGCACCGTTGTACAGACAAAAACATTCACTTGTACGTGCATAAATGTGTGCTTGCAGTATATGCAAGAATTTAAAAATTACATTTAAAACAGTTTTATTGCGTTTAGTTGGTATTTAGTCGCCAAATAAGTAATTATGTGACAATTCAATTAGCGGCGCTGCATAAAACACCTTTTTCCAAATGATGCCATAACCAATTAGCACACTCGCGCACGGGATTATGCACTTGCATACTTAGGCACATAAATATTTATGCAACACTAGCCACATCATCACTAACTAACCAACTGAAGACTGTATTAAACATTTTGTCTCGTCAGTAAACATTTTCGGTGGATATGTTGTTAATATTTGAGCTTACAGTCCAGTTGACATTGACACCGAATTGTGAAAATTGTTATTACGCAAATGTATGTAGGTAGGTACTGAATATATTTATGCAAACATATACTTATACATAGATA